CAGCTTGCTGACCAATCTGATAGTGTGCGAACATTGAACGCGGCTAGGTGAAAAGGAAGTGTTGGCTTCAAAAATCCTGTACCTTCTTATTGTTTGGTCTTGATGGTGAAACGCTGAGTGATATTCGATGGGTAGCGTAAACAGGCGTCGGATAATTCGGGGTTGAGAGAAAGAACTAGATATATCGGAAAGAGGTTTTTCTAAATGGGTATCTAAGACTTATTTCGCGGTTACCCACACCGACCAAGGGGTTTTCTTTGGGAACCCTAACCGGAGCCTTTGATTCAAAAGTCTGACCCACAAGGCAGTGGGGTGTAAATCACACGCGGGAGCGTGAACGAAGCACCCTTGTAGGAGCGTCTAGAGACCTGTCACGCAAGGCCTTTGAATTTCGATTAATTGAGTTGTTCGCTGGTGCGTTGATTATCGGTCCGCTTTTCGGGATCGGCCCTTAGCCTCATGCACCCAATGAAACAAGCGAAACATGGAAGGGACAGCACCTTATTGGCTGGGGGCTGCCCAGTTTGAGCGGGCGGTAGCTGTCCAGTGAAGTGCGAAGACCTCACACCATCAGGAGGAAGCCCCAAGTACCCCGCTCCCACGTCCATCTAGAGGGTTTTTTGGACTGATAAACTGCCCATCTTTCTTTTGATGGAGTGACCTCTCCAGAGGTTGCAGTGGATAGTCAAGGGAAGCCACGAGGTGCCCAAGCAGCTGGTCTCATGAGACTGATCTTCATTTGGCCTCTACCCATTGAACTTTCAGGATAGTTGGGTGTGCGGCTGTGAGAAGCCATTCTGTATATCTCGCAGGGTCATGGAGGAACGCAAACCATCACACCACGCCAAGGTGCAGTCTCGTCGTGATGGGATGCATATATACAAATCTGCATGGTTGACCACGTGAACCCAACATCAACAGCTGAAACTTACTTAAATTCTAGACAAACATTTATTAATATTTCACAACAGAATATTGCTTCCAAAACAACGGGAGACGGTTCACCAGTTATTCACCTCAAGAGGTCTGATGCGGACATTTTCACAATTGCCTATGAAATAAAATGTAGTCTTACTATGATTAACAAAATTCTCTATTCTACGATTATTATGGCAACATTTGGAAGCGATGAATACACGGATAACCAATCCTTGTGCAGCGCACGCCTCTGGCCTGAGAGAACCTGGCAACGTTGACGTGACATTTCGATCGAATTGAAAGGTTACGTATGATTGCCACCGGGGTGCGGGTTCAGCGCGTGCTACATATGTGCGGTGTTGTGAAGCATGAAGTTAGTGACGTGACGGTAACACTGCAGATACAAACTAGTTTGAACGGATCAACAACGCTGAACGAGTTTGCTCCTATCTTTACATTAGGAATGTGTTGAACGATCGAAAATTGAACATTTCGTCGGTGTGGCCTCTGTGGAAGCTCCCCTCAGAGATCAGGCTTGTTTGTTCGCATTCGTGAATCATCAAATTAGAATTCCATTATTATTATCGGACGGCATGACGGCTAAAACAGAGTTGTTGAAATAACGACAAAGATGAAAAAATCTTAGGAAAGTTGTACGATAAGCTGAAATTTGTATTGAGCAGGCGCATATTGCGATTATTAGAGATTATATTATTCCGGGTAAAATTCTTTTATACTACTCTACTCCATAACGAATGTGACACGGACGTAAATAACAGTGATACTCAGAAGGAAACAACAGCTGGTTTATTGAATGGTCTTCGATGACGAGAGTTGATAGATCACCTTCGAGAGTTATGCCGACAATGTACCGCTCATGGTTAACCTTCGTGAATCCTCCTCCAAAGTGGAGTAGCAGGTATAAAGTATTGAGTAATATAATTCAAATGTCATGACAGCAGTTTAGTGCAACAGGATTGTAATCCCTCACATGCCGAATTCGATCGTCACGACCAATATGTATATGCTTCTTTGGTTTATCAAGGAAAATACTATCTCCGTTGGTGGTCAATTTAAAATTCCGAACAGATGAGTGCATCCACGGACATTTACTGCCCATCCAGAAGATGGATTTCCTATAAAAACTAGAAATTTATATGAAGAAATAGTCGCGTAAATGAGGAGAAACGCTAGGCAGCACTGTACAGCTGTTTCGACTAGGGTGAGTCCCATCAGTAGCGCGAATTCATCGACCCAAATGGGGATCGACACTCGCAACAAGCTCGCAAAGATGGTTCGCGCTATATCGTGTACATTCAACATGAGAAAATATCTGATCAGCTTCCCGGTGGCCGAGTGGGTAGCATGCTTACTCTCTACCTGTGAGGTCCGGTTTCGATACCCAGTTCGGTCGATGGATTCGCACTGTTGATGAGATCCGACCAGGTCAAAACAGCGCCACAGTGTTTCCCAGCTTTTCAGCTCACGCCTCATTTATACGACAAATTCTTCATTTAAAAAATCAAATCCTCCATTAGTATGACATAACTAGTAAATTGTTTGTTTGTTAGGCTGTATCAGCGCCTGCAATAAGAGCTTTATTTTTGCTTGTTCGATCAATGCTCCAAGCACTTTAAACTTATTTTCTTTAGGAAACGATAGGCAAGACGAACTGATAGATGCCAGTTCGGCAAACGATATGACACTCGGTGATGATTCAGAAGCGCACATTGCGCGAATGTATGTCACATGATTGTCAATTATTTTTTACAACCCGACGCGAGTGGTGCAAATTCCGGCGGGCACTTTCGGAGAATCTTTTTAACCAGTTAACCGATCAAGGTGACAGTGTGGCGCAAGTTCAAACCGGCGTGCCTATGTACGATGACTCACACTGATGATTTTTTTCCGCTCAGCGATACCAAAACGAATAACGGTTTTGCTGACACAATGAGCTCGAATGAGTGAGCGACGAACGAGAGAGGAAACGGAGAGTCGGAAACGAGGATTCAAACCTCTAACAACGTAGGTACATCGATTACAACAGAAAGATAAAAGAACTACCTTTTTCAGCAAACACTGATACCATGGTATAAAGATTCAAAGTCTAACAAAATCACAGCAGCTCTTATACGACCCACTTCTTTCTGGTGATACAAGCTAACATACAGGGTTCCGTAAATTCACTGCAACGATTGTATCATACTTAGATTTCACTCCTACGATACCCACAGCTTCTGATGACAGAAATCCGCAAATCCATTTGTTGCAGGTCCCAGATCAATCTAGATCCTGAAAATCCACACAGTGCCTACGCACTCCCAGCATGCTCTGGACAGGTGGTATATTGTTGTAGAAAACATCATTAACTCTTATGCATAATTAAACAAATTTTCCTTATCTAGGGCAGAAAGAAAATAGAGTTTCAGATAAAAGCATAGCGCATTCCGTATGCAACGGATTGGATAGGAGACTCGGATTTCTGATCAAAAACGTAAACCTGGCGCAACAGATCATTTTAATGGATGAATGAGAGAACATACGACTAGAGTAGAAAAGGCTTGGAAAAACTTATAATGTGATCCCTTGGAGGAAAAAGAGCACTAGAGAAAAGTAACAAGTTAACTTCAAAACACCTATAATTCTGCTGTTGGATAAGTGAAAACGTACAATTTGAGCGATCATTAAGCAATGATTATTGAGTTGTGGGCATATTTTCTGTTGGAAAATTGAACAGGTTTTAACTATACATCCATACCATACCGGGAATTGTGGTATAGTCGTTTGAATGAACAGCGATCACACAGAATTCTCGTCTACCTTTCGTTATCTATGGAAGCTGAAAAATCTGATCTGATCAAACATAAGGGCGGAATGTTTGCTTTTTATACGAACGAAATAAAACAGAATCGAAGCTCCAACAAGTAAATTGTCGAAGCTTGAGATAAATGTTGGGCCGTCGTATGCACTTCTATTTGACAATCAATGCCAAAAAGACCTGACATATCAGTCCTCGCGAGCGACAGCTTCTCTTTAGTAGTTTCATTGTAAACTCACATACTTCGCAAATGCTAAAAACTGCAAGTGTAGACGATATTTATTGATCCTCCCTTGTGAAACCTTGCTAGAGCAACTCTCAGACTTTAACCTGTATTTCAAAACTTCAATTTATTCAAGCACAGATGCTCTAGATACGCTAATTCAAATTGCCGCAGTAATCGTAAGCATCGTTGTTAATCATGATTTCCTTCTCCAGTCATCATATTATCAGCCCGAGAAAGCGACATGTTTTGGTCAACTTTGGAACGGGAATCATCAATCAACCTCAGAGTATTCATTTAGAAGCATTTATTTAGACACGTGAGCATTACCAAAAAGATGACCACTCAAATTATTCCTTTCAACAGAAGTTGATTCGGTACTTCTGCATCACAGTGTACGCCACGAGGAGCTAAAGTATCCCAGGCGAAAGACGAGCAAACATTAATCTGGAAAATAAGTTCACAACAAATTGTCAGGTACAAACTACTGAAGTAACGCAACAAAGCAATTCATGGTACTCATCCACTAACCCCAGCTAGCAATTCCAACTCCTCTAGGTATTTTCTGCCTGAAAGAATAACTGAAACAACTTTCAATCAACCTGATTACCGATTTGGCTATTGCGTTTGACTACAACTGCAGTAGAGAAAAAAGATGGAGGTCGAATCTAGATTCACTAGGCTTTTAAAGTAGTGCTAATATATGTGGTGACCACTGTACCACGTTTATAGCAAACGGCCATTTAGGTAACAAAACCGACAGCATCGTGCTTTTTCATATCTTAGGATAGAATGATCTCTTTGAGTGCCTTATGACGATTGCGAGAAGAATATAAGCTGCAGAAACGAAGTACAAAATTCTGAATGTTGAAAAAATTAAACATTGCATGAAAAATCAAGGGAATGTCCTTTTCTAATAAAATGGTTCCAAATCAAGATATGAAAAGAATCATCAAGAATTCGGCACATCATGGGATCCGTGCAATTTCAGTAAGATTAATGTGCTAAAACAGAGCACGAGATGCTATCATTCAGGCAAACCTAAAATGCGTCCAGATCTCGAAAGGTGCTCAAGCGCCAAGAGGTCCGGGCTAGCAAGTTCCGAAAATCGGCACCGCAAAGCAATTGCATTTCATGTTCCCGATCCGATGAACATGAGAACGTATCAGGTCCATCAGGATCACCGCATCCGTCCATATCACCACCATGGATCTGTTTCGGGGCATCGCACTGCAATTTGAAACCTGGGTGCGTCATGAATTCAACTGTGGTGCCTTCGATAGAATGGGACAGTCGGTTCAAACAACTGGAAATGTTGTCGATTGTTTGATGTGAACCCATCAGTGTCATTCCAATGAATGCTTCGGTACACCTGGTTTGGCGGGACAGGATAGGATGCATACGTCACAGGCCCAGTAGGGACTATCAATACAATGCTGGCCCTTCTGATCAGCCTGGATGCTGATGAAAAAGTTGAATGAATGCGTGTAAAATTCAAAACAAAGAATTTGGAGAAATTCTCTACAAAGGGTATCTATCACATGCGAGATTTATCTGACTTAACAGATGGACAAAAGATATGACAAATTGTTTGGGACCAAATGTGAACAGGAAACACCTGCATTTGAAAAAACCAAACCGAGCAAGACTGCCAATATAGTGCAAGTGGCACGAACTGAGAAAACGTAATGATTCCTATCACGGAACAGATCCCAATAACACAGAGGTCCTCTATCAGAACCTAAATTCCCAAACGTCAAACAACATCTCAAACCGTGAAAAGTTAATCAGCAAAGTTGTGCGAAAAAAACAGCCTTGAAATGTACTATATTTATTAGACATTCCGTACGTCTGGGTTCAAACTGCGCGCCAAGTAAATCACAGTACGAAAATAATTAAAACAAATAAATAGTTTTATGATTTGCTAGTGAGCAGAATACTGTTAGATTGACCAGGACAAGACAGGTAAATTTTCTTAGGAGGGGGAATCTTGAGTCAGCCAAATCCTGACCCGCAAAGCAGCAGGGCTGTGAGAAAACCGTGATCTGTTAGGGACCGATTTCTAGTTAATCGGAGCATACACCCTCTGAACAGGGTTAAATGTCCAAGGTGTCTTCGACAACCAATCAAGCTGATGAGCACTACCAGAACCAGGAAGATGTGGGTGCGGTTCGTAGCCATTCTCTTGGTTGCTTTGGAATTAGGGTTTGGGGCGATCTCTATCACGACGAGACTGCACCTTGATGTGGTGTGGTGGCTTGTGCACCTCTGTGACTAAACGAGCCACACGGCTTTTGCAAAGCCGAAGATCTAATCACGCCTGGAAGGTCAGAGGGGAGAGGTCTGTCTAGTCTCTTAGTCCTCCAGGTTGATGGATTAATTCTAGTTGGCGAAACAAACGGTCAAAAATAATATGATATGCAACTGGTCCAAGAAGGTTGGCCTTCCCTCGCTGTCTTGCGCTTAGATTCTTGTCATAACTAAGAGCATCGATTGAGAACCTTAATCGTTCACTTGCTTAGTGGCTATACTTTCTGGCAGCACCTGCGCATAAAGCTTCAATGAACCCAAACTAAAATAAACCATACTGTATCGCTTATCGTGCTGTATTCGCAACCGCGTTACCCCTCGCATCGGCAGGGGTGAGTAGTGACAAGTGGACTACTGCTCAGAGATCCTAGCCTCTATTTAACTCTTTGTCATCT